GACCCGTTGGCCTGGCCGTACACGGCTGGCAAAGAGTGCCTGGCTGCTGGGGGTCCCTGCCTGTGACTGGTTGTGTTGAGGGGCCACAAAGAGGAGGTGGGCGGCCGTCAGCAGCAGCCGGGCCTGGGGCTGCCGTGTCTCGATGACATAGAAGAGCTTGTGGGAGCCATCCTCCCGGTCGAGGAAGGCGAGGAAGTCACTGTAGAGCAGACGGCCTTCCGTGTCGGCTACCAGCACTCGGTCTCCTGGTCTCAGGTCCTTCACCAGCTTGGTACCGCCTTGCTCCAGGTGCACTGTGGCTGAGCCAGGGAAGCAACCCCCAGATTTGGCGGCCACCGAGTTTTCTGTGCAAGGAGAGAGAGAGGCACAGCAGGGTTAGAGGAGGCACATGACAAGTTGGGGCATGGGAGCATGAGGGGACGCACCACTTCCCCAGCCACCCCGACCTTCCCAAAAAGCATAGGTGCAGGATGCAAATTCACCTCTGAAATTCCTCCACCCTCATCTATGAACATGCCCTCATGTTTACACTCAGTATGTCAAGTGAGAATCCCCTTCCTGCCAGATTTGAGCCATTGCAGCTCCCTCTGGGTTAGGAGTTAGAAAGGTGCTTTATCTCATTAAGGAAATGGGCCAAAATATTTCTGCTGAAAGGACTGTTCCAGAACAAATTTCTTCCGGAAGGTCTTCCCATTTGGCTACTGTTTGCCCTGCACTGACACCTGATGCCTGATAACTTGTTGGCTTTCAAAGCTGAGTGGCTTTGCTGGCATAAGGTTTCTCCTCTAAGCAAGTGTCTGTCCTCACAATGCTTGGGGTCCCCACTCAGCTCCTACTCAAGGAACCCATCTCAGCCAGCAAGCAGCAGAGAGCAGGAGGAGGTTTTGCCTCAAGGTCCACAAGAATTTGCCAATATCCTCACTGGAAAACAACAGCCCAAATTTCCTACATCACCCTGCATGTGCCCCCATGCTGGCTCTAGCCCTTGCTGCTTTCCAGATCAGCATGGCAGTTACCCCATCACACCCCTAGCTGTCATCTCCAGCACTCTGGTTCACTCATCTTTCCAAAAAAATGCCTCTCCCACCTCTCTAGAAGAAGGAAGCAGTTCCCTGTCCCAGGGCATATGGTCCCCAAGCAGTCCCACACCTGTGTCAGGCCCAAGCACATACCTCCTTCACCTCCTCCAGCCCTCGGGTCTTACTCAGAGTTTAGATACCACATGCTGTCACTAACCATTGCTGCTTTCCAGTGCTACTGAGAGGAAGAATCTCAAGTTTAAAGAAAGCAGAAGCAGCAATTAGACTCCTAGTCTCTCTCTCTCAAATCCCTTTCTGGAAGCGCTGCCACCTGTGGGGTGGTGGGAGAGAAAGTCTGCCACGTTCCAGGCTGGTCTCTGTCTTAATACAGGGACTCTGCAGTGTTCCTAAAAGCTCTGGTTTTCTAAATATCTGGTAGTAGCCCATGGTATGTCACGGTAGCAAGTGTCTTTGCTGCAGCTGTTGACATTCCTCATCTCCCCCTTGCCTTTCCCAGGTTTCTTCTAGTTACTCTCTATACCAGCTAAGAGTCCTGATGATTTATCTCCTAAAGGTGGACAGATTTTATACTTTGCCTCTGTGGCTGTTACTGAAACTCTTATGATTTAAATAAATCCTTAGAGTGTCTCCTAATGACTTTCTCAGGAAGGACAGGAAGGGCAAAAATTAGACCATTATTGATTTGCTAATGACTTTATCACTTCTTCAGAAATGAAGCAGCAAGATCTCCAAGGCCTCCCTCTTCAGGGACGACATGGCAACAAACAAGCTATGTGCTTTATGTGGATGCCTCTGCTAGCAAACTACACCTTCCTACAAGCCTGCGGTAAAGGTCTGGCTAGAGCTTTGTTTGCATATTCAGGGACTTGATGAATAGATCTAGTAGTGTAGCAGCTCTACAAACATGCCAGTGAATTGGCAGAGGTGTGAAAATCTGCTTCTTTGAGCAGTGCTTGTTTGGGTTCTCTAATTAAAATCCAATAAAGGATCAGCATTGTCATTCTGATTTATGTAATAAATGCAGACACTCTTGGAAGAGAGGACACTTCCATTTTTTTCCCAGCTTCTTCCCCCCTTTTCTCCCCCTCCCTATTTGTTCAGGTGCAGAAACCCTATGTGCCAATTCACACACATACTCTCCAAAAAAACGAGGACCTTCCAAGCACTATTTGCACAGCAGAGCCACTTTTCCAAGGCACTCAAGATCTGTATTTGAATTTTAAATGTAGAAGCTTGCTCTAAATACTTGCTGTAGCGCATTATCAATGTCCCTTTTACCACCCCTGCCTCTCCCTCCTCTGTTCTGGTGACAATAATTCAGGCCTTGGGGGAACTCTTCTTTGCATTCCAGTCTCCGGGATCATACTTTTTGCAAACAGAGATCTAGATAAAGAATCTTCCTGCCTGGCATTATGGGGTTTAATCTTCTCATGAGATGCTCTGTCATGAAATGAGGTTTGGACAGTTTAAGATCAGGCTGAGAGGGTGGAATTCAAGCCTGCTCCCTTCAGCCCACCTCGTACAGTCACACGACCCTGCCTGACACCCTCTAAATATTGCCCCCAAGTCCGTGTGTGCCGAATCTCAATGAGCAGCTTGGGGTTACTCCTCTCCTATGAAATACCCACGGGGGTGGATTAGGGGGTGCACTTGGACTAAGGTCATTGCACACCACAATCAGACACCTTGCGCTGTAAAGCCAGTCTTGGCTATTGAAAGGGATGTTTCATATCTCCACACAGCTGACAGCTTTGCAGGGCCTCCTTTTGGATAGAAAGGACCCAGGAGTCGAACAAAAGCAGCAGCAGGCTCTCAGGACAAAGCCCACATGGGCTGGGAGGGGTGCTACCTCGGCTCAGTCCCTGGGGAGCTTTGCACTGAAGTGGGGAGAATGAACCCCTCCTGCAGATGGGCATGGCAAGGCCACCCTGGTTTCCTTGCCATGGAGCTGCCAGGTTCAAAGCAAATGGCTATATTTATATTTTCTATTGCAACCAAGTATTTCTTTACACTTCCTGCGGGCTGCTGGGCTAGAGGATGTTTTTAAAAAGCACTTTAGATGCTATGCAGCTGGGTGGAGGGAGGCAGTGCCATGGGGACTGGCACTTGCCAACAGAACTGCTCCCCAAAATAGTGTCAAGTATCAAGAAAAGGAACTCTGCGAGTTGGGGATTTCTTGCAAGCTGTTCCCGGGTTGAGACAGCGTGTGGAAGCACAGGGGAGGGAAAAAAATTATGTGTATGTGTATCCCTATCTGGGAATTTCCTAGCGGCTACTGCTGAAGGAGGCTGGGGACCACGTTACTTATTTATTTTCCTGGCCGGCTCCCACTCGGAGATTAGCGCTCGCGAGTAAGGCGTGCAGCCAGAGAGGCGGCTGGAGACGGCCACGAGTGTTTGTGTTGAACATGCTCTTTGGATGGGGAAAGCATCAGATCCCACGGGGGGAGGAGAAGGGTGTGGGAAGGCTGTGCAAGCAATGGCTTTATTT